AATAATAATAATGACAATAATAAAATAAAACAAAAGGCCCTTTCCTTCCAAATATCCCTTATCTGCCTACTGTCCCCCCTCCTCCCTCCCTCCCTTCCCTTTCTTCTTCTTCTTCTTCTTCCTCCTCCTTCCTCCCTTTTCTCCTCTGGCTTTCTTCACTCCAGGAGCAAACTCTTCTTCATTGGAGAGATGGAGGAGGAAAGGGAGGAGGAAGGAAAAGAGGGAGGACCTCGGCTTCCTGGTGAAAGAAAGAAGAGAAGGAGCAAAGGAGGAGGAGGAGGAGGAGAAAGAGGAGGAAACGAGAAGAGGCAGAGGGAGGGGAGGGTATTTCTTTTTTATTGTTGTTATTATTATTATTTTTCTGACAAGGGAAGAGCCCCCTTTGCCAAAGCCTCCCTGTGCGCTTTTACGCACGGCGCGCTTTTTGCGCCATGGCTGAAGCCGCCTCCGCCGCCTTTACGCTCCGGTTCCCTGGCTTGTTTCCTTCCACTTTCCTTCTTCCTCTTCCTCTGGCCCTCACTCTCTGGCCCCCATGGCCCTGGGGGGCTCTTTGGGGGTCCTCAAAGACCCCCAGGCACCCACCCAAAGGCGCACAAGAACAATACAAACGCCACCGAGGCGCAGCCGCAGCCGCCACCGCCCTCCTCCTTTCTCCTTCTCCTTCTCCTCCTCCTCCTGGTCCCCCAAAGGGAGCTTCGGAGGGAGACAAAGCAAGCCAGGCCAGGGGGGGAAGGGGGCCCAGGGAGAGCCCTGCAAGCAAGCAAGCCAGCCAGCCAGCCAGCCAGCCCTCCTCCGGCCTCCCCACGGCTTCTTCCCCGGCAGGAAAACCCTGCGGAAACACACGCGCACCCAAAGCACTTCTGGGTAAATAAAGGAGGAGAGGAAAGAGGGAGGAAGGAAGGAAAGAGGAGAAGCAGGGGGAGACCCTCGTCTGTTGCTCTCCGTCAAAGTCACTCTGGGGCTGAGGAAGAGGAGGAGGAGGAGGGAAGGAAGGAAGGAAGGAAGACGTTTCAGAGAGCGATAGCAGGGCGTGGCAGAGAACAATAGGGTTTGGATGGAAGAAAGCCCTCTCTCTCTTGGAGAGAGCCAAGCCTCAAAAGCTGGGGCCTCCTAGGCCAGGGAAAGAGCCCAAGCAGGCAAGGGATTTGGGATCCCGTCGCTCTCCTGCTCCTCTATCATCCACCTCACCAACACTTTGGGCCTTTGCAGACTGCCCGAAATATTGCGCATTAAATTGAGGCACTGCCCTGGCTCAGTGCTAAGGAATCATGGGAACTGTAATTTATTGTGGCACCAGAGCTCTCTGACAGAGAAGGCTCAATGTCTCAGAAAAAAATACAATTCCCATGACTCCCTAGCACTGAGCCAGGGCAGTGCCTCAATTTAATGTGCACTATTTCTGGTAGTCTGCTTAGGCCTTTTGTCTCAGGAGAGGGTGGCCAGATGTCCTCCTCAACGCAAAGGAGGACAAATGTAGGACATTCAAGGGGGGAGGGAGGGAATGGGAGACCTTACAAAATAAAAGCTAAAAACATGCAATGTAAATTACATTAAAAAACATGTAAATTCATACTTCTTGGTCATGCTCCAAATGGAGCATGTTTGGACATGCCTCCTGGGCAGATGGTTGAAATGGAAGTGGTGTCCTGGAAAAGGAGGACCTTGGATCACCCTTACAAAATAAAAGCTGAAAGCCATATAAATTCATACTTCTTGGTCCTGCTCCAAATGGAGCATGTTTGGACATGCCTCCTGGGCAGATGGTTCATTCTGCTTCAAAATGGAGGTGGTGTCCTGGAAAAGGAGGACCTTGGATCACCCTGACTCAGAACAATGCAAACACACATACACACACCCCAAAAAAGTGCTTCCTATGAAGGTATAGTAGAATCAATGTAGCAGAACAATGTAGCATATTGAGTGAAAGCAGGGTGACCAGAGATCCTCACCTTTAAGGTCAAGGCACCTTAAAATATAGGACATGACCAAATAAAAGCTGATAAAACTCCTATAAATGTACTGTAAATCCATGCTTCTTGGTCATGCTCCAAAGGGAGGACGTTGTGACATTCCTCCTGGGCAGAAGGATGAAATGGAGAATGTGTCCTGGGAAAAGGAGGACACGTCTGGCCACCCAGTCTCGGAACAATGCAAACACCTCCCTCCCCAAAAAAGTGCTTCCTATCAAGGTGTAGTGGAATCAATGAAACCAGCCATGCCAATGGAGGGGTGAGATTGAGTGAAAGCAGGGTGACCAGAGATCTCTGCAAAGGAGGACAAGGTACCTACAAAAATGTAGGGTTATCAAGAAAAATGGAGAAGGTGACCAACTAAAAGTGAAATACGTTCATCAAAATAGGAATCCATGCTTCTCAAAATGGAAGGTATTTTGGAATTCCTCCAGGACAGAAGGCTGAAATGGTAAAGCAGGACCTCTGGTCACCCTGAATTAAAAGGCACTGAAATTAAAAGTTGAGCCTGAAAAGCCTCAGCAACCTCTTGGAGGAGATAAAATAAGGACATAATGCTGCTTAGGAAGAGTGCTAAGTGCTTTTAATGAACTGGAGGTGTGGTATTGCGATCCCCATTGCAAGGGGGCCAGGGCACTATTCTCAGAACTGATTATTATTGTGACTAATTTTAGTCAGATCTTATAAGGCCTGTGAGAACAAGGCAATCCTTTGCATTCAGATTTCTGCTCTCTTCCATCCTTACACACCTTTAATTCTCTTTGTCAAAGACTGCAATTGGGTTTGGGCCTAGTAGTAAGAGTTGGCATTTGGATTTACACAAATGGTGAGCAGCAAGTTGTATAACCATCCTAGCACAGTCAATCCATAATCAATACTGTTCATCATCATCATGGGGTTTTCAGAGCAAAAGGATTCGGATGTTATTTGCCATTGCTTTCTGCACAGTTCTGGCTCCTATCTCTGAGAGGCACTCTGCCAGTGTCACACACATCATCATCATTATATCTATTTATTAAATGTATTATTATTACATTCATTTATATCCCATCTTTTCTCCACTTCAGGACTCAAAGTGGCTTACAACAAATTAAGCAGGAAGTTCTGTTGATGGTAGCATTGCTTCTGGTAGGATCTTCCACATCACCCAAACAGTGCACTGGACCTTGTTAACTGTTGTACTGGTATACATGCATGTGTTTAATGGTGTATGTTTTAACCTAGTTTTTAATTCTTTTAAATCAGGGGTAGGCAACCTTTTTGAGACAGGGGCCGGGTTGCTGTCCCTCAGACAATTGGGGGGCTGAAGCACCAAAAACAAACAAACAAACAATAAAAAATATATTATTTAAAAATTTTAAAAAATATGCATGCACACTCTCTCAGCCCCAGAAAAGCCATGGCAAAACCCCTGTGGAGATTTTGCCAAGAAAACCCCAAGAACAAGTAATAACAACAATAATATCATCATGGCGGGTGGCAGCAGGACTGGCTTGGGGCCAGTCCAAAGGCCTCGGGGGGCCGCATCCAGGCCTTAGGTTGCCTACCCGTTTTAAATTGTTTAATCACTTTTTAGCTTTTTTGTATTTTGTGAATTTTTAGTGATGTGTCTTTTAATTTGTTGTAATGTTGTGTGTGTGACACTGGCAGAGTGCCTCTCAGAGACAGGAGGAACTGCACTGGCTTGCTACCTGTGGATTGGTTCAATCAAGGAAGCCACATCCTTGAGTTTGAAGGACCTGAATGCCAGGGATCTTGTAGGTCTCTGATTCATAGGGTAGCCATAAGTCAAAGTCAATGGCAAACAACAAATCCGCACAAGCATCTGCACAAGCCCAGTTTATTAACACCACAAAGGTTTATCTGACATCACCGGATAGGGCTAAGGGGAAAAACTGACACACACACCCCAAAAAAACAAACAAAAAACAAACAAACCACTATCAGTCAGTGCAAATCTGGGCTGGGCAAAATGTTGCCTCCAAAGGATGTTTCTGCCACCCTTGACCCCTTCCAGATTCCCAGAACTGCCTTCATAAAAATTCACAGATAAGGTCAATTGCTGCTCCTAAAATCTTTCAGAAGCAACAACCCACCTTTTTAACAAGTTGCATGGGTCCACTAGATTTTTTTTATTACTGTACAAAAAGTCATTCCCCCCCTAAAAAAAAAATTAAAAGTACCGTAGACTTTTGATCACTTCCACTGTTATTTTGCTTTGCATTTTGGTTTCCTTTTTTGGCTGGCTGGACAGATCCCTGAAGGCCCCCAGTGGCAGAGCATCGGTATCTGAACCTGCCATAGTTACCTGTCCCTTAAGTAGGCAATATTGAACAGGATGAACCAAAATCCTGTCTCAGTGCACTGAACTTTTGAATGGCAATTTGTGGTGACCTTTGATAAAAAGCTAAGGCATGCAATCAGTTCAGTTAACTTATTCAGGTGTGCTAGAACAAAATCTCTTGCACATAGAAGAAACTGTTTTACATTGTGGCTACATCCGCAGAAATAATCCAGCCTGACACTACTTTAACTACCATGGCTCAGTTCTATGGAATTCTGGGAACTGTAGTTTATTGTGACAACAAAATGCTCTGACAGAGAGCTAATTGTCTCACAAAACTATAATTCCCAGAATCCCATAGCATTGAGCCATGGCAGGCAAAGTGGTATCAAACTGGATTATTTCTGCAGTGCGGATACAGCCACAGTCAGATGACTTGTCCAGCAAACCCAGCAACAGAGATTGGAAAAGTTCATATACGGTATTTTTTTTGGGGGGGGGGGACAACATATCCCACATATCTCCCTTCCCTTCCCAATTTTTTTCCTCTCTTGCCATAGGCAGTAATGGTAGTTACTCACCCACACGGACAGCCATTAAATGTACAAACATGTACCTACTTCCCTGGGAGCAAGCCTTATTGAAATCAGTAGGATTGACATCTGAAAAACAAACCTTCCCCATCAATCAAACTCACTTTTTTTCTCTTATAACACTGTTTTGTATTCAGTACAAGTACTAAAAATACCAGTGTGGTGTAGTGGTTTGAATATTGGACTATGACTCTGGAAACCAGGGTTTAAATCCCTGCTTGGCCATAAACCCACGGGGGGGGGGGCGGACTTTGGCAAGCCACACTCTCTCAGCCTCAGAGGATGGCAATGACAAACCCCCTCTGAAGAAACTTGTCAAGAAAACCCCACAATATGATCACCTTAGGGTTGCCATAAGTCAGAAACAACTTGAAGGCACAAAACAACAAACTAAAAATATAGAGTACCATATCTTTTTCACTCAGGTAACAGACTTAGTTGGGATATGTATGACATAAGCCTTTCATAGAGAAATGATCAAATCACAGGCATGTGCTATTTTCTGTACTCACGATCTGTTGGGGCCATTTTCTGATGGCTCTTTGATTTCATACTCAGATGCTCTTGCCAGTTACTCAGTCTGAGCTATTCTGAGGCCACCTTTCAGCACAACACATATTATACACAATATGTTTCCAGTGTTATGAAAGATGCCTCCCTGAGAAGTATTCCCAAACAATTGTGGAATATGTGTAAATATTTCACCTTAGAGTCTGTTTTTGTGTGTGCGTGTGTGTGACAGAGAGAGAGAGAGACCAATGGACTAAGAATGGCGCCTTGATTACCCTATTCATTCCACCAGTGACATTCCATTAGTTTTATAATTAATTTTTGTGTTTGAAGTATTAACCTTTAGCTTTTGGAATTAGTTTACTTTTAGTCTGAAGACTCCTTAACATTTGACCTTAATTGTTCATAAATGGAACTCAAGGCACATTGATACCAGTGGCATCTTTATCCACTGACACACAGGGGACTACTGGAGCAAGGCTTCACATTGTGAAGACTTTAAAAAAGGATTCCGGCATGAAGAATAGCCAGTAATTGCACAGAGATGTTGCAACCTTTGTGCAGAATCTTATCTTTAAAGAATAAAGGGAGGGGGAGAGAAAAGCCTTTCTTACTCTGTTTTAACTGCTTTAGCTGTGAAGAGAAACTTTCAGAACTTGAAATGTCTGTGTGCAGTACAGACCATCTTCAGTTTCACAGGCTGCTTGAAACAAGAGCCAGGAGGTGTGAGATCCTCCTTGTCTTTCAGTGGAAGTTCACATTCAGATGCTGATGACAATAATTTAACTTTCAGCTGTGTTAATTGTTACAACTATTAAGGAAGGAAGGAAGGAATATTATTTGGACGGGTAGGTTAATTGGCTATTAACTGTTCTTTGCAAAATATACTGCCTGAGGGGAAGGAGTATAGCTGAAGCTCTGTGCTAGAGGCAGAAATGCTTTTCTTCCATTAAACTTGTTGTGTACCATCAAGTCATTTCTGACTTGTGGCAAACCTATGGCGAACCTATCAGGGGGGTTTCTTGGCAGAATTTGTTGGAAGGGGGCCTTTGTCTTCCTCAGAGGCTGAGAGTATGTGATTTGCCCAAGGTCAGCCAGTGGGTTTCCATGGCTGAGTGGGGATTCAAACACTGGTCTCCCAGTGTCCTGGTACAACACTCAAACTAGTTTATTACATTTGGATTTACTATTTATTTATTTAAAGGATTTCTGTATCCCAGCCCACCATAAACACATTAAAATATTATTTTAAAATTCCTAGAAGCAGTCTAAAAACAATACTAGATGTTAGGATATGGATGGGATATACAGTCAAAGGTGAAAATGTAAAGAAAATGTAATGTGTGTGTGTCTGTAATTTTCCACTTGAGAACAGCTTTTGGACAA